GCACCAGGCCGCTTGAATCCCACAAACCAGGTTGCTTGCTTTACGTGCACCAGGCTGCCTACACCTGGCCGCACCATCCAGCCTGCACCACATGAAGCTTAGGAAAAAGGGGCCTGACAAGCCAGCGTAGGCTAGCATGGGCATTGGCCAGAGTCTTGGTTTATGGTAACCTGGTGAAGGTCACACGTCCGACGAGGACATTGGAGTTTAGGTGGGGGAGGCTTGGCAGGCCCCTTTTTCCTAATCCCTATGTGGGGCATACCGGATGGTGCAGCCTGGTGTAGGCAGCGTGATGCATGTAGAGCAGGTGGCCTGATGCACGTGGTGCAGGCAGTCCGGTGCGTGTGGTGCATGCAGCTTGGTGCATGAATACATGCCAAGTGGTGTGTAGGTGGCTGAGGGTGTGGGTCAAGGAACCCCTTGGTGCATCAACTGACACATATTCTATTTTGGTGGGATCAACAGTCACTCACAGGGTTCCAGTTCTTTATGTCGACAACTATATATGAGACTGGTGCGTGCTTCTCTCCCTTGACCATACGAGAGGTCAGGGTATGCGGCATTAGGTGTATGGTGCGCGCACAGACAGTTAGTGGCTTAAAGACCCTTGGTGTAAGACCTTGGGTAAGACAATGTGGGCTAATGGTGTGAAGACCATGTGCAAGTGGTGTGAGCGACATGCTGGGCTGGGCAAGTCTAGATTGAGACGGTTTTGGTGAGTTCAGAATATTTAACTACCAAGACTGGGTTTGTGTAGTGGCCATGAGTCATGTGTTAGAGGTAGTGCACGTGTGTTCCATTGTAACTAAGCTATGCTGGTGCATAGCTAGTCATGACCCTAAAGAGTGGGCTGACTAGGAGTAATCGACCCCTCCCATCACAGAGCCACATGGGCGGTGAATTGAGGGAGTGGGAAAGTGGTTGCAATAGCCACCTTGAGTGGTGGACTGTTACAACGCTCTTGCCGTAGTGGGACGAGATCGAGGGAGAATGGGTGAATTGTGGCCTCCATGCTAGTCATGGTGGTGACATGTCCAACACGTGTATAGTGGATTTGAAATTCAAATTGTAACTAGGGGCTATAAGAACCCCTTGCCTGCCCTTGGTGAAGGAGTCCGTGACTGTATACACTACAAATGAATAGTGAAATAAATATGAGATGGCTTGTAGCTATTGCTTGTGCACGGTGACCCTTGTATGTGCGTATGTGCTTGTGTTGTGTCTATCTTGTATGGGCACGTGGAAGGCTGACCTAGCTTTGGTTGTGCTAGAACTGAGTCTCGGTATTGCACTGGGTCTGTAGTGAGAAATCTCCCCCATGATAGTCAGTATCATAGCAAAAAGCCGACTGTGACTGTGGAATGGTGGTATAGCTGATGTGCAAGCTCGCACCCATGGGGTCCAAGATTGTGGGTAGCTGGCAAATGAAAATTGGAACTGGCTCAATTTGCAGACTTAGAAGCCTTTTGCAGATTCCACTTCTGATCTCGATAAAGCTACTCAGAATCAATTGGCAAGAGGTCAATGATTGCATGGCATTCCAACCTTCCTTCTCCTTCCAAGGCCTATTCGAAAGAGAATTCAGCACCTCGGGGCAGATCCTTATTGTCTTGGAGGCCCGAATCGGTGCTTTGGAAGTTAGGTTGGAGGACCATTGTGGTGCTTGTGATGCTCGTATGGGAGGGCTCATGGATGACCTCAAGACCTTCGTTGAGTCCCTCAAGACCAAACTTGTGGCCTTGCAGGAGGATATGGCACTTGTCAAGAGGGCAACATTATGGGCGCGCTGGATGCTCGAACTGTGAGGATGCTAGAGCCATGGGTCTTTGAAGGCCAAAGAGATTCCAAGGTGTTGGATAATTTTTGTGGGACATAGTGCAGTATTTCGAGACTGCTCATGCCTGTGAGGAGGATTGTGTTGGCATTTACTTGATGTACCTCGTTGGAGACGCGAAGGTTAGTGGAGGATGAGGGTGGAGGACATATCAAGGCCCAAGATGAGCACTTGGGATGCCGTGAAACAAGAACTGAACGAGCAATTCTTGCCAGGCAATGCGGCTTGGGTGGCTTGAGAAGCTTTGAGAAAGCTTCACCAGACATGTTCGGTGCGAGACTGTGAAGAAGTTCACATCCTTGATATTGGATATACGAACCATGATCGATGAGGACCAGTTATTCAACATTGTGTTTGGGTTACAAGGATGCGCCTAGGCCGAGTTGAGAAGGCAAGCTGTGCATGACTTGCCTACTTCTATGGTAGCAGCTGAGGGCCCATTAGACTTTGATCTTTATGGGGCGGTGGAGTCAAACCATAGGGATGGTCAATAGAGGATGGATAGTGAGAAGGTGGTGCACCGCAATTGATCTAGTCTTGAGAAAGGGGCGACCAAAGAGAAAGAAGCACCTCGAAAGGCCTTCCCGGGCTGTTTCATATGCAGAGGGGACCATCGGAGGGTGTGCCCACGAAGTAAGCCCTCAATATGGTTAATCTTGTGCAGGAGGATGAGGAGGCCCCAACATAGATTGGCTGACTATGGTTGATCAACACAATACAGTTGGTTTCAACCAAGACTCAGGATTGGGAGGAGTCCAAATCAGGTGATGAGACTACTGATTCTTCGAAGTAAAGTGATGACTCAAATGGGGTCATCATTAGGAAAACATCAGAGATTGCAGTAGGTCAGTGGGAGGAGTCCTCTGACTCAACGATAGGAGAGGCCTCTTCGATTAGTGGGAGTTGTGATGGGGCAAGCCATCGACCTAGTCTTAGTGGGTCTAAGAAGAGGAGATTTGGCAACTGGCACGAGGATTGTATGTATTGGTCGACTTGTGGTCAAGCTGATGTAAGGCCATCCTCTTGAGGCTGCAGGTGGTGGCAAGGGTCGTGGTGGCAGCAGCGGACCTAGCACGCACCTTGAAACATGGTGGCAGCGGGAGGACCTGACCATGTGTGCATAAGCAAGTGGGACTTGGTGGCAGTAGTGGACCTAACTAGGTGTGAGGTGGACTAAGTAGGAGGCTTGGTCTAGGTGAGCATCGGCGTTGGTTGGAGTTGTGGTTTATGGGAATCTGGCAAAGGTCAAGCATCCAACGGATATCGGAGCTTATGTGGAGGAGGTTTGTCAGGCCCTTTTTTCCTAAGCCTCATGTGGTGTAGCCCGATGGAACGGCCTGGTGTAAGTAGTCTGGTGCATTTAGAGCAGGAGGCCTGGTGCGTGTGGTGCAGGTGGCCTTGTGCATGGGTTCAGGCCAAGTGGTACGTGGTCGCCTAGGGCATGGATCATGGAACCCCTTGGTGCATCAATTGGCTCATATACTACTTTGGTGGATTAGTTATCACTTATAGGGTTCCACTTCTAGCATAGACATTTGGCAAAGTATACCTTCATAATACTGCCATGTCGCCACCTCTAGTAAAATGCTCACACTTTTTGTTTCCCTTGAATTTGATCAGTTCATGTTTCGAAAAGTAAGATTTTCTTAGGTTTCCTTATCCAGCCTTTTAAGATTTTCTTAGGTTTCCTTATCCAGCCTTTTGGTTAGCTTGGTTTGCATCTCGTCAAAATGAAATGGTGCTCTTCATTTGTATGAGCTGTATTCCTTGATAACATGTAGTTGGCGTTTCTTCATTCATATCAACTTTATCTTTGATAACATTTTGGAGATGTTTGACTGTAGTTTTTATTCTCCATGTTATAACTATTAATATGGGCTAGTTAATTCTTCCTTTGTTCGGCTGCTACTCTCTTTCTTATTGATGCAGTCCTGCTGATGACATCTCTAGTGTATGAATTTTTTTTTTTTTTAAATTTTTTACTATCCGCCGATTGCTATTCATGAGTACTATTCACAAATACTATTTATGGTTTATTGTTCATAGGGGTATTTTTGGAACTTTTAAATATTGTTTACGCGCATTTATGTAGCCGACACCAAATAATTGGGATAAAGTTTGGATGATGAGGATGATGATATAGTATTTTCTGTCGTATGAATAAGAGGTTCATGTTCATCATATGGCTTATCTCATATAATCATATTTCTTAAAATGTTATAAACCATAAATTTATGCTAAGTTTCATATGATATCATTCTCTAAGTAATTATTTAGCATATGCTTTAAATACTGAAACATTAGTGGTGCATCCATCTTTTAAACTGATGGCAAGCATCTAATTTTTGGTCAGCTCAGACTTTTACTAGTTGTAACTGTACGGTGACGATTGTGATAGTCACTTGATATCCACTTGATATTCCTTTGCGATATTTGTTTTGTCTCTTTATATTTTAGAGAGAATATCATTAAAATGGTCAGACCACCTCAAAAAATACTAAGGTTACCTATTATCAACCAAAGTTGTTAATTTAAAAAGGTCATCTCATTCAAGTACCTCCACAACTGTTTTTTTAAAATACCCAAAATACCCCTATTCTGCATTGGGAATCTTGAACAAGCAGGGGTATTTTGGTAGTTTCCCTACTTATGCCAAACCAAATATCATAAATACCTCTGGCTTGTTTTGGGTTCCAAATATGGAATTTTTTCTATTAGAATTTCTTTTTCCAGGTATGAAACCCCGAATGAGAAGGGTGTCATTTGACTGCGCTTAACTGACTTGAGCCAAATGACAATGCTACTCTCACATGGTCTAGGTTCCAAACCTGGAACATGTGTTTGCCTCATTAAAATTTCTTGTTCCAGGTTAGGAATCTGGAACAAGTAGATGGATTTAGGTAATTTTATCCCACATTTGTCATGGGTGAAATAACCAAAACACCCCTGCTTATTCAGGATTGTAAACTCTTAACAGGGTCATTCTAGGTATCTTTTAAGAAAAGACTTGATGAGGTACTTGAGCAAAGTGATCTTACTAAATAAATTAGTTGATTTGACCAACTTAGTGATTTTTGAGGTTTTTTTATTGTTTTAATGATTGTTTCCCTATATTTTATTTTTAAGATGAGTTATAGTGTATTTATTTCTGATTACTTTTGGCTAGGGAAACTCAGTGAGCCTCAACACCTACCAGAAGATGAGTTTGGAAGGATAGTTAGGATGAACTACATGAGTGCATGGTTTCTTTTGAAGGCTGTTAGTAAAAGGATGCAGCACTTTGGAGGATCCATTGTACTTATGATATCCATCATTGGCATGGAAAGAGGGCTTTATCCTGGGGCTGCTGCTTACGGTTCTTCTTTGGCAGCTGTAAATCACTTAGTAAGGGTAAGTGGACTGTTTCATTTAGCTGCATTAGTTTTTTATTTTCAAAATTGGAAGAATCGCTTTCACCTAAATGCTTTGCTATAGTTTCTACTGCATAGGGATGCATGCCGTAGTTTCATTGAAATTGTGTCCATTAAAAAAATGCAAATTAAATGAATTGCTGAATTTGTTCCTTTTTCTAGTCTACTCATCATTGAAGTAAATGACATCGTTTTCCCCATAAGATGAGTAGATAAAATGCACTGTGTCTTCAAGTGCATTAAATTTCATATGTTTGATGTCTTAGGTAGCAGCATTACCTTCCTGCAATGTTTTTTACTTTAGCATTATGAGTCAACTTACAGAGGTCTACGTTATGTATTTCATTTGGTGATTTCCCATGCATCTCAAGGAATTGTTTTATTGGCATGAAATTGTTTTATATGCATAATTGAGGAAATGCAATTATGTAGACGTCTGATGAGTGTATATGTGTTTTTATGCGCATTTATGTGTGCACCTGAATGAACATTTTTCAACTGGATGCACTTTTTGTCTACTCTTTGATGGACTCATAGCTAATAGAGGTTTTATATCAGGTCCATTCATTATTTATTGAAAGCCAATTCAGTATATAAGACTTCATAATTGGCTGCCATGATGCGATGCAGTTGTGGCATTTTTTTTCCTGAGACCATTATGAGTTTGGGCTTGTCATTTCTGGGAATGGTTCTGGGAGGGGATACTTGGTTTGCTACAGGGCCTTTGGAGGGTATTTATGTCTCCTATCTCTTTATTCTATCTACTGAATATTCTAGTTGGATTCTTAAGAACTGAATTAGAATTTTCAGGTCCTCACCATGGGAGTTGAGTAGCCCCAATTCAAGGGGCATTTTCCCGTCATTGCTGTCTTCTCAATTGAAATTTCCTTGGAGAGGAGTTCACTCTAGCATACTTCAATCAACTTAGTATTCCAGAAAATGTCAGGTGGCGCTTAGGTAATCTTGGGGGTCTAGGCCACCGAGTGCCTAGGCGGGCACAAGGGTTGTCCAGTAATCCTGTTTTAGGTCCAAATTTTGTATAAAAGATACATATTCATCCGATTTTTTATAATCCAAACAAAATACAAAAAATACCTTACCCTCTGGGTATTTTTACACCTAGGCGGTGCAATGCCCACGGCACCCACCTAGGTGGGGTACAAGGCGGCGTCCAGGGACAACCCATCTAGTTTGTCTGCCCAGGCTTGGGCGATGCACCCAGGTCCCACTAGCCTGCCTAGGCACTGGGTGGACCACTTTTTGAATCAATGGTTCATTTGTAGTGCTTCAGAGTTACTTGATTTTAGATGTTAAATTTGGAACAAGTCTTTGAGTTTTATGGTAGAAAGTGGGGCCAATTTGCAGCTTAAGATATTGCTTTGTTAGGTTCTTGATTGGTGTATCTTCTAGTGCAATGTAGAGGCTTCCTTTATGTTGTTTTGAGATTGGATGGGAGGGTGATGTATAGGAATGGGTCAATTGACCATCTGTTGATCAAGGAAATGAGACTTGTGGAATAATAATATTGAAAATTTGGGTGCTTTGTGTTTCGTGGTTTGCGTGCTATTGAAGCTTGGCTTGTAAGCTTCTCTTTTCTTCCAATCAATCAATCATTAGATCTTTTGATAAATTTTTTTCGTTGTTTCTACCTCCATCATCCATCATCTGGTATTGGAGCAGGTTTTTCCAAGCACTATTGACTCAATGGATTCAGGTCTAGACTTAGACAATGACTCGATGGGTCGGGTCTGGATCCACTTTACCTTGACCCGACCCTGGTCTGGTCTGGTCTGGTCTGGGTTTGGGTCCGGCTTGGACCCTATCGGGTCAGGGTCAACCTGACCCAACCTGGTATATATAAGCATAAGATACATATAAATAATATTAACTATTTATTATAAAATACATAAAATAATTTTAATATTTTTTTATTTCTAGACCCGGACCCGATTGGACCAGTTGTGTCCTGGAACTGACTCTACCCATCTACGGCGTGGAGGGATGGGGGGAGGGACGGATTTGAGTGAGTAGGGTTTCGGCTTTGTGACAGAAAACTGGAATGGAAAAAGATTTTTTTGGGTGAAGGCATGAAAATAGATTTCTCTATTTCGGGCTCAAAATAGAGAAAACAATTTTTCGTAAAAAAAAGATCCATACCAGATTTTGGATCTAAATAGTGAAAATAGACAATTTCCTGGGAGAACTATTCTTGGTAATCTTATTCCAGGGATCCAAACGGCCCCTTAGTTATTGAACAAGGGGTTGATTTGTTATTAGAAAGAGTTTGACTCTTTTTTTGTCCCTACTTTATTGTCACCTAAGAAAGATTGACCTCGATGGATGTGTGTGCGCAACAGGGCAATTAATATCAGTGAAGTACCACTTCCCAATTCATTGTCTAGATGACATGCTTGACATGCTAGTGGGCGCTAAAATCTTTTCGAGGTTTGGTCTAAGAAGCAGGTACCATCGGATCTGAATCTACCCTGGTGATGAATGGAAGACAACGTCAAAGACTCGGGAGAAATTGTATGAATGGCTTATTGAGTGATTTGGGTTGTCCAAGCCCCAAAGTTCCTTTATTAGAGTGATGTACCAGGTGCTCTGTCCCTTCATTGATAAATTTGTAGTTGTGTACTTTGATGACATCCTTTTACAGTTTGACTGATGATACATACTTGAACCATTTGAGGAGATCATTAGGACCTCTCAGATGGTATAAGTTGCCTTTGAATCTAAAGAAGTTTTTTTTGTTTTCTGATAGACCACTTGGTGATTTTAGGATTTGTTGCATTGATAAAGTGGAGCATGCTAAAGTGTAGGCAATTGTAGAATGGCCTACACTAAAGACTATACGAGAGGTGAGAAGTTTTCGTGGTTTTGCCACTTTTTACAGGCGATTCATTAGAAATTTTAGTATGTTCTTGCACCTATGGTAAATGTATGAAGAAGGGGGTTTTTCAATGGGCTATAAAGCAGCTGAAGAGAGCTTTGGCTTATTAAGGAGAAGATGACCAGTGCTCCTGTCTTAGCACTATAGATTTTGAGCAGGTCTTCCAAGTGGAATGCAATGCTTAGGGCTGTTCTTAATCCTGAAGGCAAGCTAATAGATTAAACGAATCCAAGACACCTTTGTGGAGTTTTATGCTATTGTTGAGGCTGTGTCATTGGCAATATTACTTTATACAAAGAGAGTGCATTTTGTTCTCATATCATGAGGCGCTGAGGTGCTTGAATGCTCAAAAGCAACTGAATAGGTGCCATGCCAAGTGGATATCCTACATGTAGCAATCTCTTTTATTATTCGACACAAATCAAACACTCAAAAATAAAGTGACTGCTGCTTAGAGCCTAGGGTGGAAACGGGTCGGGTTAGGTTAGGTAGGGCCCGACCCGATCTGACAAGTTCAAGGGTTGACCTAGACCCAGTTGGGCCCAAATTGATCAGAACCAGACTCGATGGGTTGGTATGGTTGTGTCAAAATATAAAAAATAAAAATATATTATATAGTTTATAATATAAAATGTGTGTTTATAGGTAGAAAGTAACAGGTTGGGTGGGGTTGGGTCTGACCTGGACCCGACCCGTTTAGGTCCAGGTTAGAATCGAAGCGAACTTGACCATACCAACTCTCAGTTCGATACTTCTGAACCCAGACCCAACCTACTAGGTCCAGAAGCCGGACCGGAACTTGGATGTGAGTCAGGTCGATTTGTCCCTTTGACTGCCGTATTTGAGCAAGAGATCCTACTTATGTGGAACTTTTGCAACTTTGGTGGTTGGAATCAACATCCTACGGCAAGTATATGCTATTGTCCCTAATTTTTGTAAAATATTGATCAATATGGTTTTTTCTTGTGACTTTGTGTTGCAAGATGACTTCCTTCACAAGGTAGTCAATTTTGCATCCCATGAGGCTCTCATCGCATCAAGATCATCATTGAGTTGTATTGCAAATGTCTCAGTGGACATTTTGGATGAGAGAAAATGATTACATTGGTAGAAGAGAATTATTACTGGCCTTTGCTTAAGCTAGGCCTCAGGTGGTTTGTGGAAAGATGCAAGATCTCCCAACTAGCGAAGGGCCAAGCTCAAAACACTGGGTTATACACTTCCTCGCCTATTCATACAACTCGGACCAATATCAGTATGGACTTCATGGAGGGACTTCCTTGCAGTGCCAAAGGCTGGGCTCCCATAATCACCATGGTGGATCCTTTCTCAAAGATGGCACACTTCATCCCTTGTAAGAAGACCATGAACACCACTCGTACAGCTGATCTATTGTTCCTCAAGGAGATGTTTAGACTTCATGGAGTTCCGAACACTCACTTGTGCCTAGGTTAGATGGTTTGTGAGTCACTTTTGTTGCACCCTATGCAGGAAGTTAGAAACCAAATTGCAATACTAGTAGCATTGACCATCCATAGATGGACGGACAGTCCGTGATTGTGAATCAAAGTCAGAGATTCCTTCAAGGAGTCTTGTGGAGTCAATCCTAGTCAGTGGGTTCACATTTGCCTCATGCTGAGTTCACTTACAATGGCAGTGTCGAATCGGTCGACAGGAGGTTTTCCTTTGAGATTAAGTGCTAGATTTATTCCTCTACCCCGAGAAGGAGTAGACCAATGATGATGCAAAGGCACTAGTAAAGCATCTCCAGGGGGCCCATAGGCAACTCTGAGAAAGCCACAAGAGAGCTATGCAAAGTATATAGCTGATGCCGACCAGCACTGACGAGAGGAGTAATAGTGAATGTTACTTGATGATGTTCTGCCTACAGTGAGAGCATTTCCCACATGGCACCTATCATAATCTCAAATAAATGAAGATCGGTCCCTGTCAAGTGATCTCGAAAATAAGCAACAATGCATACAAAGCGGAGCTTCCAGAGGCGTGTGGTATCTGTCCTATCTTCAATGTTTCCGATCTATATTTTCTAGACATTAGAAACAGCACTACTCAACACGGATCTTATAGCCTGTACTTGGTCCAGTGGAAGTACATACTGGATTTGGAGAATTCATGGATTTTAGAAGAGGATATGAAGCGGATGGATGCAGAAGCATGGAGAATGTTCACAGTTGAACTGAACTCAATGGGTGAGTTCTCTCTAATCAGGGGAGGCTGATATAACCAATTTGAGCACTGCACCTTCCAAAGGCCATAAGTTTTACTTGTATATTCGATTTCTTTTATGACCACCCCTTCAGCGGTATCATTGAGCTCTATATATGCAAATCCCACTTCACTGGTTTTGCTAGCCAAATTTGTCAGAAAAAATCCTTTAAAGGCCTCACATCAGCTACCAAAGTTAGTGCAAGGTTAGGGGTAGTGTTATCCTTTTGTCTAGGACGGAATTATTTCTATTATCCAGGGTAAAGTGGTCGTTTCAGGGTTAGGATTTCTTGGAATCTAGCTTTGGTCTGTAAATAGGGATTTGTAAGGAGATTAAGCAGTCTTGAGATTTTATACTGTGTTTCCCAGTTAGTAGCAATTGAAGCTTGACTTCTAAGATTCCATTTTCTTGCAATCAATCAAGACATTAGATCTTTGATTTCCTCACCGTAATTTCTTTGTCCATCACACGGCCTATTGTAAATTATGGTTTTTATTACCCTAGTCTATGAAGCAAGACTAGCTCTATGGAGAAGGCTCTACTCGTTCTTAGGAGGTGCTTTGGTGCTTTTTAAAGCTAAGAGAGTTACAATTTTTTATTTTTGCAAAGGATTCAACATGCCTTTGTTGGTGAAAATGGTAGTAAGGGATTAGAGCTCAGAAAATCACAAGCTTCCAGATGGAACTTTAGTAGCTAAGCGTGTGAAAGATTGTAGGCAAGGATACTACAATGCTGATTAGTAGACCGTCAGAATCATTGTATAGTCAGTTCATTTGTAGAACCAGTTCACCTATCAGGAACTACCAGGAAAAAAATCTTTTGATGATCAGAGAGTGGGTCACATATTAAGAAGCAGGAGTCAATGCAGTCTCACTATCTCTTATGTTTTGTTAAGTATGCTTTTTTTTTTGATTGTGTAACAGGGTTTCATTAATGAAGAAACTAAAGTAAAATATCATGGCTAAAGCATAAAGGGACTGTAAATTATACGACAAAGTTATCTACATGTGAATTATGAATAGTCTATTTGACAAGAAGAGATACTGTGATCACCCTTTCCCGTGTTGTCCTCTTGAAGGACAACTTGGTTTGGCAAAGCTGGACGAAAGTCTCATCAACATTTGATGGACCCACAAGGGGGGTGGATTCCACTGGAAACTAAGTGTTTCAATAATGGTCCCCGTCTAGGCAATAGTATTTGAGTCCCCACTAAGTTCCATAATCCCTGTTTCCCAAGATCTCCTTTCCCCATTAAAACCTAAGCAGCCGTTTGGGTACTTGGAAATATATTATATGTGAAATACATTACTGGTGTAATAAATTACTGGAGCAATACATTACCTCGAAATGAATTATTGTTATTTGGTTAGCATCTGGATACATCCTGGGGATTACATTGCTATTGTTTGGGCTACGTCTAGAAGAAACCTAGGAAATACATTACCGTCATTTTGGCTCGAAAATATTGGGTGGTGTTTGTATAAGGCTTAGGTCCTAAACAATCAAAGTAAGACACACCTTCAAATGGTGTCGAAAGATGTCATTTTAGTATTGAAAATCATTATGATAACTAGAAAATATATTTTCATCTCTAAATATAAAATTTAAAACTTTAAAAATGGTGTAGCTCAAATAGATCTATAAACAATTCAAAATCTTGAAAATACATTATAAGATAATACATTAATACATTACAAGATGCACTATTTTGAAGACTTGATATCTTTTTTTTTTGTCTGTTCGTGTATCTAAGATCGAGATGCTTGGATTTGGGAGTTTTTTGGGATCAAAACGACTTTTTCTAGTGAATTTTTTATGTGTGTCTAAGTTTAGACTGTTTAGGGTCTCAACTTTATACAAACTTTTTTCAAAAATATTGCATGAATTTTACCTATAATAATATGATTTTTTTGTACAGTTAATTTTTTTTATCTTTTAAAATAAAATATCAGGTGAATCTAAAACAGATTATTATTTTTTGATCGAAGTTAACTTAGCATTAAAGAGAGAGAGAGAGGTACAAGAGTAAGTATATACTGCGAGGCCTACAATCGCTTCTAAAGTCGCTCTACATCGATCAGGCTAGAAGCAGAGATAGGGCTTATATGAGAATCTAAAACAGATTATTCAAATACAAATCTCAATCCACCCTCCAAAACAAAATTGGGCATAAAGCATTGTGGATGACCCCACTTGTCATTTTATCCACCCTCCAAAACAATGTGCGTATGAGAGAGGAAGAGAGACTAAAACCCCAAAATGGGCCAAGGTTGTTAAAACCCAAACAATGTGCGTATGAGAAAGGAAGAGAGTTTTGTAAGAGGAACTCAAATGAATGAGGTCAATTTTATAATTTGAGTAACGAGTCAATCCTTTATTTAGGATTCCAGCAGCAACCGACATCTTATTTTCTGCTGCGGGTTTGGAATCTAGTCTAGGAGTTCTTTTCGGATTGCATTTTTGTTTGGGTTATTGTTTCCTTTCAATGCTATGGGAAACAATAGAGAATTGGGTGGTGTTAAGTTCCAGTTACGAGTTTATCTCTCAATCTTGTGATGAAGCTACAAGGAAACACAAATGAGTTGTAGATTGAAGGCAAACAACGCAATGTTGTGCGGAGTTTTTACACGGAATGTCACTTTTAGATTATTTCCATGAAATTCAGACTAGGCTTGAGGTTTTAACCAACATATGACGAGAATTTTGCTGGTTAGACATCAGAAGTCAAGGCTTCCTTATTGAATTTATTGCAAGTGCAACTTGTATATATTGGTGAGGGCTATCCACCTTCTTTGACTAGAGGTGTATTTTAAGATGAAGCAGGAAAGGTTTTACCTGACTACAACTTTTTGAGGGAGGAGCAGGGTTCACTTGACTATTTGACCTTTCTAGAGGTTGTTGCTAGGAGCTCTAGATCTTCCCAAATCACTTGAAAGGCCTTCGGAAATGGAGGTTATGCCATTGTACTTGGTGGTTGGAGGGATAATGGGATTCCCCGTGCTTTATCAGCGTTTACTTTGAAGTGCCATGTGCATTAGGAAAAGCGAAAAGATGAAAACAGCATTTTGAAGTACACAAATAGGTCATGAATGTCTCTTAAATGCATTGAGAGGCCAAATAGTTCTAAGATGGTTTCCCAGATGCTTATATTTCGATTTTTTATCTATAACCAATTTTTGTATTGTAGGTCATATTTGCATTATGAGCGAGGACTAGAGGGTTTTGGTGAAGGTTGACGATGTCAACGAAAGGTGGATAGTTTATTCTAAAAAATTGTTCAATGACGAATTCTATGGAAACATAGCACTAGGAGGAGCCTTTGGCATAAATGAGGTTGGAGGTGATAGATATATTTGCAAGATTAGGATATCTGAATCATAGTTGTTGAAACTGTGTAAGCAAGGTCACGATGCTCCGGAACCTCGATCCCACAATTCCAGCCAGGGATCTTGGATGGAATGCCGATCCCTATATTGTGACCCTCATTCCCAGCAGGATTGAACTGCGGTTTTCAAGTGTATGATGCAGTGCATACGATGTTTTCTCTATTTGGCACTGATTCATATGCACTTATTCAGGTTTGTGCCCAGTAGTGCTATGAACCCACACATCATTCGTGATCCTTTGAAACTTCATGGAATCGCGCTTCCTTGTGACAAGGATCAGTCTACCTAGATATAGGATCATATGGACGGCGATCCTAACCACAAGGAGCTTCTAGCAATCCTCGGTTTTATAGACTCGAGCTAGCCTCCTCTTTCGGGAATGCACCTGCACCCGACAACTATGATCTGAATTGAAAGCAGCTTTGAGGAGGATGAAGATAGGAAAGGCCTTAGGACTATATGATATCCTATAGAGGTTTGGAAGTGCTTGGGGAGATTGGTAGATCCTAGCTAACCAAGCTGTTCAACAAGGTGAACAAAGAAAATGCCAAACGAACAGAGGAAAAGTTGTATGGTACCTATTTACAAGAACAAAATGAGACATAAAGAATTGTGTTAACTATCAAGAGATCAAACTTATGAGCCATATTATGAAGTTGTGGAAGAGAGTGATTGAGCAACGACTAATCCATGAGAAGCGAGTGCCTTTGAAAATGAATTCGGTTTTATGCCAGGGAGGTCAACAATTGAGGCCATTTTCCTATTTAGGCAACTAATTGAGAAGTTTAGGGACAAGGCAAAAAACCTCCACATGGTCTTTATTGATTTAGAGAAGGCTTACGATTAGGTACTTAGAGATTTAATTTTGTGGGTGTTAGGAACGCTAACTAGTATACAGACAACTATTGGAGAGACAAGTGAGTTTTTAGTAACAATAGGTCCACATCAAGGGTCAGCGTTGAGCTTATATCTCTTTGTTTTAGTTATGGACGAGTTAGCTAGGCATCTACAAAATGACGTATTGTGGTATGTGTTTAATCGGATGACATAGTTTTAACCGATGAGATTAGAAGTGACATCAATGCAAAGTTCGAACTTTGGAGGGATTGTTTAGAATCTAAATGTTTTAAAATTAGCTGGACTTAGACATAATATATGGAATACGAGTTTAGTAATAATAGGAGTAGAAACGAGGAAGTACTTAAGATTGATGACCAAGAAATACCAAAAAGAGAGTATTTTCGATATCTTGGGTCAATAATACATGAAATGGAGAGATTGAGGAAGACGTCACGCATAGAATTAGAGCTAGTTGGCGAAGTGGAGATGTGCGATCGGAATTTTATGTGATCGTTAAATATCAATGAAACTGAAGGGGAAGTTCTATAGGACAGCTGTGAAACCAGCTTTCTTTATGAGACGAGATGCTGGGTGGTCAAGAAACAACATACCCATAAGATGAGTGTAGTAGAGATGAATATGTTGAGATGGATGAGTGACAAGAGAAGAAAAGATAGAATTCGGAACAAATATATTCGAGAGAACTTAAGGGTGGCTCCAATAGGGGATAAGATGAGGGAAAGTAGGCCATGTGCAGTGTGCAGTGCAAACCCAATACAACAACTATTAGTATGTGCGATTTGGCTCAATTGGAAGGCTCTAAAAGGGCAAGGGGAAGGCCCAAAAGGACATGGATGGGAAGTAGTGAGAAAATATATGAGGATATATGGTCTTGCTTAGGGTATGGCCCTCGATAGAGCAGAATGGTGAAATAAGATTCATGTAGCCAACCCCAAATAGTTAGGATAAGGCTTTGATGATGGTGATGAATCAATTTTTGTATTCTGATAGTATCAATGCGATATATGGCTCTTACATGCTACGAGGAACTAAATAACCATAGCATAATCTTGGTACAATTGGCTTAGTTGGGGTTTATTTTTGTCCATGGGAAATCACAATTGAGTGCTTAATTATCTTCTGCGAGTTTCTTGCTGTTCTCCCTGCGGTGTAGATAACCCCATTATAGGTCCTTGTCTGTTGTGAATAAAAGGGGAATGGTTAATTGGTGCACTTAACTAATTAAGAAATGGCAGTGTAATGGCAGATCTTTGTCATCCTTCGAATTTTCTGATGGTTTTGTTTGTCTGCACTTGTATCATGGTTTTGTTATGGTTTCAGCTTGGTTGCTACTTACGAGTTTGTTGAATCCTCTTTGGAAAAAGTTTATATAAGTTCTCAACCTTATATTGTACGGATAAGGTGCACTTAGAAACCCACTAGTGAAGGTTGTTCCTATGTTGGAAAACCCTTGAATCGATCATCTCAACCTCAAGATTCATAGAAATGAAAAAAAGGGGGATTTCTAGTCCCAAAATTAGTTCATCTTCTAACACCTCATTTGGGCCGTCCATTTCCAAGATATTCAAGTGTTTATAGATCTGCTTGATCGTCACCTTTTCTGAAACTTCAAATTTCATAATTCAGGGCAACAATAGATTTTCATATCATCGCAAGGCTTTGTTGCACCGAAACTGCATTTTTGGCA